GATAGTCTCCGACTTAGATTATAATCGGTAGCAAGCTCCAGAGGGATTCTGAACCTGAACGGTTCCCGAGAACAGATGGATAATGAAAATGCGTGTGTGCTGTGCGAAGGGATACTGTTTGCTGACCTAAAAGGTATTCGTTGAAAAACATATGAACAGAGCCGGTATCTTCAAGAAAGCCTGTGGAAGCCAAACAGCTTACCCAAGCAACCAATGCAAAACACCATCATGCCTGTACTGGATTCTTCTTAGCAGGCCAATTCATGCAATAGCCGCAGTCCCGAGTCAGAAATGAAGGAAACTGACTTAATTCATCCATTTATGCAAAACTGTAAACCCTTTCTTAAGCTTTGTATGTGATTCATGTTGGGCTTAATAATAATAATAATAAAACAATAACAATAACAATAACAATAAGCAGCTCAAGTGTGACAATTGGACTCAGCTCTCCATGTACAGTCCCAAATTGCCACATCAGCACTGCAGGAGAGAGCTTCTCTTTCACAATTAATGTCGTCTTCTGTGCTTGGCTCAAGAAAATGGACTGAGTTAAACCCAAAAGCATAGTTATTCTGCAGTTGTCCTTTTGGGAGAGTACTGAATTGGCAAGTTTTGCTGGTAATGCTGGAAACTAAGGTATCTGGATAAAGAAAATAAAAGGTGAAAGAAGCTCCAAGGTCTTGCCTTTAAGTAGTTTGTCTCTTTGCATTTTTAATTAAAATGTAAGGAACGTGCTGATTCTAAGTAGTGGAAGTGGTTATTTTTTGGCTCATGGGGTAATCATTTATTCAGTTGTGTTTCGAACATTTAATTCTGCTTGTTAGATTCTTTCAATATAAATTAATAAATTAATTTTGCGCATTTTAAAGTGATTCCGTTCGCAAGATCATAAACTAATAGTTTTTTACTTAAAATATTTAAAAGAGAAGACAATCACGTCTTACAAAGAGGGAGGATACTCAACTTATTGGCGGTGGTTAATTATAGTAAAAAATAAATTAACTAATAAAAATTTCACTTAAATTTTAGTGAATTTTAAATTTTAATAGGATATTTCATAACATATAATTAACTGCTTAAATAAAAAAAAAAGTATTGTTGTAAATGGTAATTGTGTTTTTAAACATTTAGTTCCTTTTCCGTGTAAAGGGTAAAAAAAACAAGGTGAAAACACCATCTAGCTCTTGCAGCACTCTCAGTCTAAGTGTGATTTTTGGACTTCCATCCAAAAAACAAATTAATTTAAGAAATTGCTGAGAATTTAGGACCATTTCCAAAATTTGAGCTAAATAATGTACATAGTTAACTGCAATAATAATTTTGGCTTATGGGAAAAATTTATGATGTCTAGGATAAATTTTATTTATATTAATAATATTATGTGTTATATATATATTACTGTTGTGTTCAACAAACTTGACGATGATAAGGGGTTCAGGTCATAGTTTCTTCGATCTTTAAAGTTCTTGTTATTAATTGCTAGCAAAATTTTAGGTGGTAATACAGTGGAACGAGAAATTGTCATAATTAAAGTATTTTATTAAGAAATTTAATATAATTATATAATAAAATATTATTATATTTACTTATCGAATTTTAATAAAAAATAAAATCTACTTATTCAATCAATATTAAATTTTTTTCATAACAATTTAAATTGAATGACTTAAATTTTATTATAATATAATTGTTCATATTATTTAAAATATAAAATGCATATTACAATAATTAGATATTTTAATCATTATTTTATGCTATCATTTATAATTTTTTGCTTTCTTTTTTTTTCTATTTTTTGCCAAAAGTCTTAATGAGCATATTAATTTAAATTAACATGTTTTATTTCTTTTTAAGAATAAAATTCTTTTAATGTATTATATGGTTGCTAATTATAAGTGTCATAACTTTATTATATATATATATAATATAATATATAATATATATTATATATGATATATATATTTCTAGCAAAGTTTTATTTCTATTTTTTATCCAAACAATAAATCTATAATATATTCTTAATAAATAGTTAATAAATTAGCATTTATTTTTTATAAAATAAGTTATCCGAAATAATTATAAACAATCAAATTTAAGTTATTAAAAATAATAAATTTTTTGAAAATAATTATATATTAAATTATGCCATTTAATATTGTACTTTCGATGTAAATATATATAGTAGTTATACCCATATTAATATGTACTTTATATTTAGATAAAATCAGTATATACATACCCTTATTTATATATATAATATAATTATTAGGTTTATCTAATAGATTTATATTTAATAGAAAATTAATATTACTAATTAAAATTAAAACTTACTTTTATTTTTCAACCAATAAAATTTAAAATTCAAATTTAAATAGAATTAAATTGCTTAGTTAGTGTATACAATTAAAAACTAAATTTTACTATATGTTAATATATTATCTTATGTAGTATATATATAATTTATATTTTTATTCATAAATTTAAAATTTAAATTAAAAAATTAATATAAACTATTAAATTAAATTGCTTCCAACGCCCACTTGAGTATATATATTCGCAATTTCATTACATGATTGTGGTTGTTAAAGTGAAATTATTACCATTGAAGTTATAGATTGAATTTTGTATTTGGCAGTAAATTTTGAGAAAATTTTCTAACATTTCTTAACATAATCTCATGCGTAATTTAGGTCATATCATTTTAGCTTGATGTGAAGCTAGTGCACATGAAAATTTCCTTCATTTTTCTATTTTAATTATATAAACTCAATAAATTAAATTGATATAATTGCGTTGCCTGATTGGATTGGACAACTAGTGATTCGGATGTTCATGTCTTTAGTGCTTGGGTATTTTACAGACCTGTTGCTTTTAACAGTACCGATGAAAATTGAGATTTGGCCTTGGTGACCCTCGGATTAGTTAATGAGGACAATGGTAGCAGTTTTGCTTGCGTGTTTTTTCGGACGATGAATTTCGTGTCGGCCCTTTTGATATGGATCCTAATAAGTCAACCTTGGCCTTTGGATGTTTGAACCCTGTTTTTTTCAAAAAAGTTGGGGTATCCTGGTCCTGATATTAGCAACCTTGTCGCCTTTGGCTTAGTCAAGGTACAGTACCGCCCTCTCTTACTAAAGGACTCTGTTATTCTTAATTCCTAAAGTGTGATAGGCCCTGAATTTGAAGGTATTACCGGCCGATGTCATTATGCAACGTGTTGTATAAAATTTTAGCAAAAAGCTCTTGCTAATCCGTTTGAAAATGGTTCTTCCGTAAAATTATCTCTGATTCACAATCGGCTTTATCCAAGAAGACTTGCATTACTGATAATTTCTTTTGATTGCTTTTTGGGACCATTCATAATTTGAAATGGAGGCTAGGGTACTTATTGGATCGTGTGCTTTGAAAATTGATATGGCGAAAGCTTACGATCGATGTTTAGTGGAATTATTTAACTAAGATGCTTTTGGCCTTGGTTCTCTGATCGTTGGGTTAATTGGATGCTACCAAGTGTTTTTGTGAAGTTACTTATTCTGTAAATGTTTAATGGGGATTGAAGTGGGGACCGATTTACCCCGGCGTTTGTTCTCCGTCAAGGTACCCATCTCCCTATCTTTTTTTTGATTGTGGCAGAGGGGCTATCACTTGTTTGTTACAAAAATGCTGAGCGTAGGGCCTTATCCATGGGTGTCGTGCGTGCTAATTGCCCAAGAATCTCTCATCTATTTCAGAGACTCTTCCTGTTCTTTGATGCTTCTTTGGATGAGGGTAGGGGAACAAGGTGGGATAAAGGATATTCTCGGAGCTATTTTTTGCTTCGGGTCAATCAGTTATTTGGCAAGTCTGGATTGCTTCTTCAGTTCCTTGTGTTTCTGAGTACCTTGAAGCATGACATATCTGCCCTGCTCGTTGGGCGTCTTTTTCGCCACTTAATGGAAGTATTTACTTGGGTTTGCCATCTTTAGTTATGCAGGCAACAGGCAAATTTTTTAATTTTCTCAAAGAAAGTTGTGGAAACGGATTATCTTAGCTGGAACTAATAAGTTTCGTATCACGAGGCTGGGCGTGAAGTTATGCTTCAAAGCAGTTGCTAGGCTATTCCTAATTACTGCATGAATGTGTTTCAAGCTACCTACTACTCTTTGCATGAATGTGTTTCAGCTACCTACTACTCTTTGCAATGATTTGCAGGTGATGATGAACCGTTTCTGGTGGAACGGTAATAAGTTTGATGGGCATGGCATAAACTGGTTATCTTGGGACCGTATGTGCGTTAGTAAGTCAGGTGGTGGTATGGGGTTCAGGGACCTTCATTGTTTTAATGTTGCTTTGCTAGGGAAACAAGGGTGGCGGTTGTTGACCAAAACTAATACTCTTCTACATCACGTGTTTAAAGCTAAATATTTCCCAAGGGGGGATTTTTTGTCGGCTAGTGCCACTCCAGGCCAAAGCTTTGTTTGGAAGAGTATATTGTCCTCTAAGCAGGTGTTAATTCAGGGGTCTCGTTGGCGTGTTGGTAATGGTCAGAATATACATGTAAACTCTAGTCCTTGGATTCCTAAGGATGATGGTTTCTTTCCAGATGATGGCCAGCTTTTTATTCCGAATGCCATGTGTGTTTGTGACTTGTTTGTGCCTGGAGAGAATCGTTGGGATGTGAATAAGCTTATGAATCTATTTTCCATTCGGGATTTGAGGGCCATTCTTTCAATTCCTTTGAGTATTATGAATAGAGAAGACAAAATTATTTGGCATTTCCACAAAAAGGGTATTTATACTGTGAAGACAGCTTATTATGAAATTTTCAATTCTTTGAGGCATTATCAATTGCCCTCTAATGATTCTGTTTGGAACAGAATTTGGAACCTGCATGTGCCTCCTAAGATAAGGGATTTTATGTGGCGAGCTTGTCGAAACATTCTTCCCACCCGGTGTAAGCTTGTGGAGCGCGGTATTGGGGTTCCTAGTGCTTGTCTTTTCTGCCCTGATAATGAGACCAGTGATCATGTTTTGTTCGCTTGCCCTCGTGCCCGTGAGGTTTGGAGAATCAGCGGATTTATTCTGCCATCGGGTATGCTTTCTTTTAATCAGTTCTTTGAGCAAGTTTATTTGAACTTGGGTAGAGATAAGGCTGCCACTATTGCGACTATTGCATGGAAAATTTGGGCTTCACGTAATGATATGTTGTGGTCTAACAAGTGGCTTCCTCCTGCACTGATTGTCCGACTTGCTAGTGATTATCTTCACTCTTTTGTTGCGGCTCAATCATTTCCAGCTTCTTCCCCATCGCTAACTGCAGGTCGTGCTTCCACAAGTGCTCAAATGGTTGAGGGTGCTGATTGGTTGGGTTTTACAGATGGCGCTATCTTTCCTAGCTCAGATTTTGTGGGTTTCGGCTGTCTTTTTGAAGATGGTGAAGGCTCATTCTCACTTGCAATTTCGGGTTTTAATGAAGGTGGTCACGACCCTGCTATAGCTGAGGCGCTAGCCTTGAGGCAAGGCTTGCTCTATGCTGTTGATGCCTTTCCTGGTCCAGGCAGAATGTTTACAGATTGCTTGTGTCTTGTGCAAGCTCTTTACTCTTCTTCTATTGATTTTTCTGATTTTGGATCTATTGTTATGGATTGTAAAGCTATTTTGTTGACTAGACCGGACATTAGTGTGTCTTGGGTGTGAAGATCGTCGAATAGAGGTGCTCATTTGTTGGCCCGTGCTTCTATTCGCTATGATCGTTTCAAAGTTTGGGTTTCCATGCCCAATACTCTTGTTGATTATTATCATCAGATTAATATATAGAAGCTCTGCCTTCTTTTTCAAAAAAAAAAAGTGTGTCTTGGGTGCGAAGAATCGTCCGAATAGAGGTGCTCATTTTGGTTTGGCCCCGTTCGAACATTCTACTAAAATCGGTACTCGCTTGATCCGTGTTCAAAGTTTTTTGGGTTTTTCCGAATGCCCAATACTCTTGTTGATTATAATACATCAGAATAAATATAACTACCGAAAAGAACTATTGCCTTTTCAATTTTCCAAAAAAAAAAATATAAATTAAAGAATTTAATAATTTTATTCTCAATTTATTACCATTTCAACATATGAAGTGTTAAGCTGCTCACTCAAGTCTTCCATTAGTTTCAATTCTCTTATTTGGATTTTTTTTTTTTTAAATAGTGCCATGAGTTTATTCCTGAGTAGCTTGAATCGGAAAGTTTAATATACTTTCGTTGTGAGCATACCCGATTTAATCCTTCAATTTAGGACATTTAAATATTTGAATATTAAAAAACGTTGTATGTAAATATTTAATAAAAATATACTTTTAAATTTTATATATTTAAATAATCATATTTTTTAATGTAATTTCTCATAATTACAAATGAATAATTTTCTAGTTAATATTATTTTAAATAAATTAATTTTTATATTAATATTTATTAATAATTTTTATTAATATTTTAATAAATTAATTTTTATTAATATTTTAATAAATCAGTGATAGAAAAGATAAAATAATTTTTATTAATTAAAGTTTTAATATGCCTATTTTGATTTTATCAAAATCATGCAAATAGTCAATTTAAAAGAGGAAGTATAAGAAAGCAACTTTGATAAAGTCCACTATGTGATCAAACTTGAAAAATTAAAAGCAAAGAAACTTCAACTAATTCGGGTGAAATTTTAAAAAAGAAATTATAAGAAAATCTTGAGGAATATAATACATTACAGAAATCTGTATGAACAAAAAAAAAAAAAATCAATTTCAAACAATCAAAACTTCTGAAATCACAGATACAGAATGAAAACTGGATTATAATTTTAATACCTTAAATTTATTAAAACAATTTTTTTAATTCTTGAGAACCTCTAGTTAGCAAAAAAAGAAAAATTTAGAACAGAAATTAAAAATAAAAATGCAAAAAAAAAAAAAATAATGGAGATTGGGGAGCTCAGATTCTATGGGTGTAGAAAGAGTCTGTCATGCCGAAATTAGGCAAAATTCAGTACGAGGAATTTCTTATAATCATCGCAGCCCCAAACATCCTTAGAACCTTCAATACCACAATAAACAAAACCTCAAAAATCTCAAATAATAAACCAAAAAAAAAAAAAAAAAATAAACCAAAAAAAAAAAACAATATAAGAGGGTAGCTAATCCGACCAGCAGAAGAAAGGCTCAGACAACCGCGACAACCCGTCGTCATATTTAAACAAAACTCAATAACTAGCAACTTTCGTCGTCCCAAAAAATCGTTAAGCGAGAGGCAAAATTATATATCATATGATCAGCGCAAGTCCGAGAGTTAAATGTAATTCGAGGCCTTCATTCGACCTAACGAGACACCTACTCCATATTCGTATTTTATAGCCAAAACTTCACACAAAACAAACAATATAGTCCTATCGATAACACCATAGAGTCCCGAATTAAGTGTATAATTACCAGAAAACGCGACCTGGACAGAAATCATTCCCAACCCCTGCCCGAGATTCAACAAAACAAAAACACCACATAAACTCCGCATAACAACAAATCAAAAAAGACGAAAGATGCGCGAGCGGATTCTTTCCTCTGTGTTCACGCTCCCTCATCACCTATCGTCTTCCTAATGCCAAGAACCCTAACATCCGCATACCACTACTTCATGCTTTTCGGAGATTATACAAAAAGGCTTCAGTTTATTTCCGTTTGTTTGGTTTATTTTTGCGAGAGACAAACACAATACTTACTACTACATAATATAGATTTACTTGGAACTAGGCCCTCTAATAGGAGCCTCCTCAATTTCGGGCACGAGCTCAGAGGGAGAGTACCAAGCTGGGTGTCCTAACCCAGTTACGCCCACAATTTACAAATATTAGAAGCTTCTAAGTCCCATGTCTCACCTCCATGCAACATACGTGTTATCTGAAGATGTCCATTTCTGCCAGTATTTAAATACAAAAATCTACGTCATATGAGAAAGCCTTTTTGAGAAATATCGCTTGTTCGGATATAGTTGTAGACAAAATAATGTCTCTTTCCCACTTCTTTATTCTTGTTTAAATGTTTAAACCAAGACTTGAAATGAGGGTGCATTAATTGTATGTTTTTTTGTGAAAGTGAATAAACTTAATAGTTCAATACATAATTACCTTCTATTCTTTTCTGCTGTTCGTGAACAACAAAATATTATCTGAAATGAAACGCCTCATTAGGGCCAATTTAATAGGGTTCTCTTCTGATTAGATTCTGAGAGGTATAACATACCTTAAATTAACCTCCACACATATTGTCCAGTACTAGGTGGAGAGCTGTCCTATAAATTTCAAGTATGAACTAACACGCTGTTGACATAATAAATGCTCTAGAGGGAGTTCTACACCTCCTAATCTAATTACAACAATGAGTCACACGCTACAAGTAATGATTGACAGTGGTGCCACTGACCAATATAGAAGCTTTTCGCCATGTGTCGATACATTGGAACGATATTCGCTTTACTAATAATGATCAGATTTTGATGGTTGATGTTAGTTTGTCTCTCATCATTATATACTCTCCCCTTCTTATTTGTTACAAATATAGGATATGAATAGGGCATATCTGGATTTAACCAATTTTAAAGATTAGGAGTGAATATGGGTGTAAAAGAATCTAAAGCCTTCAAGGTTATTTGGTTTATTGAGATAACAGGGATTTTCTTTATTTTCCCTTTGGGCGGAGTGTGGACTAGATCTATTGGCTTAAATTTTTGGTATTACTTGGCTAGAGACTTTCGGGCAGAGATCTGTAATTCCAACAAAACCGGGTCATTGATTATAGCTTCCATGGGAGCAAATACAGACATCTATGTGATTTGTTATTGAAAGATTTCTATCAAAATTTTGAAAGAGTAATTTTAAGTTTGGATAAACTCTCAATGTGTTGGTAGTGACACAACTTTTAACAACTTTATGTCGAGGTCCTCATATTTCTATGAGATAGGCGTTCTACATTAATCTTCCAATATCGGGAAAATCGAGGAAAGTGCAAATTTTAGATACAAAAAAAAAAAAAAAAAGAGAGAAGAAGGCTCAGACACGCACAAACGCAGTCATCAAAACTAATAACAGCTTCTTTGTTGGTCCTAATGAAAAGCAAAATTAGATCAGTATCGAGAAATGTAATCAGTCATCACAGCCCTCTCATTTCGATTTATAACTCAAAACAACAAATTATCGATAATCATGAGTAACGAATATTGAAAGAAAACGCGAATCAAAATACATTACATGAAACAAAAATAAAAGAGAGGCGGCGGATTCTTTCTGTTGGTTAAATCTTCAATGAAGAACCCTAATGCTCTGCTCGGAGATTATACTAAAAGGCTCTTCCGTTTCCTTTTGAGAAACATATATATATATATCTGGATCTAGGCCTCTAGGCCCTTCGGAGAGTCGGGATACAGCGGGCCAAAAGCCCAATTACAAATTAGACTTGCCCAGTAACCTGGCCCTAATGTGTTAAATATTCTGGTTAAATCAAAATTGCATTGAAAGCTTTAAAACTTCTATAATTGACAAATATTCTCTCCCACTTTTCTTGTTAAATGTTACACTATAGGCATAATGTATTTTTTTGAAATGTAAATTAAAGTTAATATATATTTGTGTGACAAATTAAAACTTAGGAGCCAATTTAATAGGGTCTATAGTCTAGGGATCATGAGTGAAATTAACCTCAAAATGCTACATTAACTTCTAAAAAGTTAGTTTAAACGCTATGTTATCGAATACTATATACAATGACGTTAAGCTACTTAGAAGTTGCTGTCGAATACGGTCATGATGTGTGGATGTTGTTTTATATATTTATATAAATAAATATTTTAAATTAAGTTAAAATAGTAAGCCGGTACTGACTGACTGGCAAACCATTTAAATCAAACCGCATTAATAGGCGTAATGTATTTTTTTGAAATTTCAATTAAAGTTAATATATATTTGTGTGACAAATTAAAACTTAGGAGCCAATTTAATAGGGTCTATAGTCTAGGGATCATGAGTGAAATTAACCCTAAAATACTATATTAACTTCTAAAAGCTAGTTTAAACGCTATGTTACCGAATACTATATACAATGATGTTAAGCTACTTAGAAGCTGCTGTCGAATATGGTCAAGATGTGTGGATGTAGTTTTATATATTTATATAAATAAATATTTTAAATTAAATTAAAATATATAGTAAGCCGGTACTGACTGACTGGCAAACCATTTAAATCAAACCGCATTAAAAGCCTTAAAGCTTCTATAATTTGATTTCTAAATCATATTACAATTTTGCTCTTTACTTACAACATCTAATGCTCTTAGTGCTTTGTAATTTTAAGTGTGATAAAAGGAGAATTTAGTAAAAAGATATGAAAGTTACTTATTTTAAACAATCTAAAAAATTAAAAGAAAATCTACCTATGAAGGAGACTATGGTAACTTGAATCTTGCCTTTAAAGATGACCAAAATCATGCTTTTCTTTCTTCTATAAAATCCAGACAAAATATTTGCATAGCACATCTAAGATTTACAGACTGTGTTTTGTCTTCTCCTTCAATTTCAACTCCCAACTTCTCTTGGGAGAGCCTTATACAGACTTGTTAAATAGATATATTTTTTCTATTATGAATCCTAATACGGATAGTAATGAAGTTTCTTCACAAGTCTCTTCTATTTATGAGTCCAATCAAAAGGTTCATATATTTAGTTTAGCTAAGCAAGAGAGCCAATCTATGCTATTGAACCATCTTAAGGCTCCTCCATTGCTAAAAGCTACTGCTTCTCTGGTTTATGGTTCATCATCTTCACTTAAACCAGAATCAGCTTCTCCATTTTGGAATGGAGATGATGGGTTAATGGAGAGAAGTGGCCAAAGCCACACTGCCTTCCCTTACTATGGATCTGCTCCTTACAGTATAAGTATAGGTATGTATATAGAAAATAGACACATTCAATTTCTCAAAAAGATATGCATTTCATGTGTTTTAATTTTTGTTCAAAATGTAATAATTATTATTAGCTAGAAGATTAAATTGACTTGTTTTACTCAAAACTGGTAAACGATTTTAATTTGTTTCACCTTCGATTTTGTAAAATGCATTTATTCAAAGATTCTGACATATTTTGTCCTCACGGAAGATTTTGGCAAATTTTGGTAAATTTGACACATAAAACTTAAATTTACATAGCTTCATTAATTAGAATTTTAAAATTTTCATGCAGTTGCATGCAGTCTTCAATTTTTGAATTTGATTTTCTTTTTTCAAGTTAAACAAAATTACAAAAATTCGGGGTATTAATATAATTATAGAACTTCCATGAACGTTTGAGGCGAAATGTTGCATACATGTCATTTTGCAGGTTATGGTAGTGAAAATTTAAATGGAGTAGGAGGAGCATTTACTGCATCTGAGAGGATGGAATTAAAACAGCAAGCATTGATCTACAAGCACATCTCTGCAAGTGTTCCTGAACCTGATAATTTGCTCCTACCTCTTGAGAATAACCTCCGCCCCCATCCATATGGTTTGCCTGCCTCTTCTGCTGGGGTCTTTCCTTCCAATTCATGTAAGGTTCTTAATCTTTATTTTTTCTCCTCTTTTGGGTTATTTGACATGCTGTTGGACTAAGCTATGTGTGTTTATCTTTCCTTTTCAACCCAAGCACGAGTAACCTTCTCCTTTACTTATCTAAATTGGTAAAAACTCTTATAGTCGAGATGACTCGAATTTAATATTTTTTACTTTCTACGTAAATGAGAAAAACTAATTAAACCACATTTATTTGATAACAAACATTTAGGCCAAGAGTAGAAAATTCATAATAAATAATTAAGTACCTCGTATTGCTATGTCTCTAGTACTCGTACGTAATTTAGTTATAAAATTGGAAAATTCACTTTATCAATTGAGCTAATCTCAAGTATATATTAACCAAGTGTCAATATTTAATTAATGATTTAAAATGTTTAATAAATTAGCATTATTTTAAATGGAATAATTAAAAAATAATTGAAGGTTTGAATCTAGTGTGGTTTAATTGGTTTTCTCGTCTATCTAGAGGTATGAGTTTAAGAATCGAGACCTCTCCACGATAAGAGTTTTTATCAAATTGGTGAATAAAGGGATGGTTAACTTGTTGTGCAGCTCATGTGTTCTGACCTTTGAGCCTCTTAGTTAATAAAAAAAATATAATTGAAGTAAAAAAGCAGAGTTTTACACTGTAACCGTGGATAACATAATTTAGTTACGTAGCTTAAGTCTTTATGTTTTGAAACTTTCTACAGTGGGATGCAGTAGTCTCCAACTAGGTTACATGGGCAGCAGCACCAGCAGGGATTCTGAACCTGAACGGTGTCGTAGAACAGATGGAAAGAAATGGCGATGCTCAAGGAATACTGTTCCGGACCAAAAGTATTGTGAAAAACATAGGAACAGAGGCCGCTATCGTTCAAGAAAGCCTGTGGAAGCCCAAACAGCTGCCCAAGCAACCAACACAAACACCAGCATGCCTGTAACTGTCATCTCCGGCAAGCCATTTCATGCAATTTCACAGCTCCAACAGTCAAAGAATGAGGAAACTGCTAATAATTCAGGCATTTATGAAAACTGTGACCCTTTCTTAAGCTTTTTCAATGATGGTCATGGTTGGCTTAATAATAGTAATAATAAGCAGCTGAAGTCTGATAATTGGACTCCACTTTCCATGTCAAACCCAATTGCCACATCAGCATTGCAGGAGAGAGCTTCTATTTCACCATTAATGTCGTCTTCTGTGCTTGGCAATCAAATGGATGAGTTAACCCAAAAGCAAAGTTATTCTACAGTTGGTGGCCGTTTAGGAGAGGTACTGAATGCAAGTTTTGCTGGTAATGCTGGAAACTGAGGTAGTGGTGGGATAAGGAAAATAAAAGGTGAAGAAGCCTGGAGTTCTTTGCCCCTTGAGATGTTTGTCTCTTTTTTATATTTTTAATTAGGAATGTAAGGACTTGCTGATATCAATTGAGCAGGAGGTTGTTATTTTTGCTCATATTGTGTTTCAGAATAATATTTTAATTTCTGCTTTGTTGCATTTCTTTCAATTATAAATTAATGATATTTGCATTTATAAATTATTTGGCTGGAGTATGATTATAAACTAACATTTTTATTAGAAATATTTAAAAGGATAAAACAGTCAAGTTTATACTATGAGGCATATAAGTAATTATTTGACCGTTGATTTAATTGCAAAAACAAATGAATACATAAAAATTTTCACTTATTTTAAATTTTATTAAAAATATTATCAAATAACTTAAAATAATTAACTGCTTAAATTTTTTAAAAAAACTAATTGTAAATGTTAAATTGTGTTTATGAACATCAGTCCTTTTTGTGTAAAGGGAAAAAGTAAAAACGTCATCTAACTTAGTATGCTATGGGTCAAATGTGATTATGACCCAGTCATTCAACAAAATAATTTAAGAAATATGATAGCGCTATATTTGAATAAAATAATGAATTTATTTTACATCATTTTAAAATTTGAACTAAATTAAATTACATTTTAATTTAATTCAATTTAATTTGGTTTTATTTTAAATATTTACTATCCTAGATTAAAGTGTATATATATATAATTTTTTTCAAACGTGTGTCACACATTGACAGAGAAAGCAGCTCAAGCCATGATTCTTCCGATTTTTAAAAGTTGATTATTAATTGCTAGCAAATTTGGTGATAATGTGGTGAAATGAGAAATGTTATAATCAAATAATTTGTTATGGAAATAATATCTTTATAATAATAAAATATTATTATAATTTAACTATCAAATTTGGATGAAAATGAAATTACTCATCAACCAATAAAAATTTTTCTCATAACAATTTAAATTTGATTACTTAATTTTTATATAATATAATACCATAAAATATCTGTATTATTAAAATATAAAAGGCAATATTATAATAATTAATATATCAATCATTATGATATAGCATCACTTATAATTTGCTTTTTTTTTTTTTTAATTTTTGCAAAAATCTATGAGGATATGATTAATTGTATGTTTATTGTTTTAAGAAAAAAACTTTCAATGTATTATATGGGTTTGCTAACACAGCGTGTCATAATTTTATATTTTATATATATATATTTCTAATAAGTTTTGTTTTCTATTTTATATAAAAAATAAATTTTATAATATATTCCTTAATAAATAATAATAAATTAAGTATATTTTTTCTAAAATAAGTTACTTGTCAAAAATAATTATAATTAATCACATTAAAGATTTATTAAAAATAATAATTAAATATATTATATTCTTACCATATGTAATATGTACTTTATATAGTAATATATTACAGTACATACTTTTTTTTTTTTGAAAGGTAGTACATACCATATTTAGTATGTACTTTATATAGTAATATAATATAGTACGTACCATATTTAATATGTACTTTGTACAGTAATATAATATAACACATACCTTATTTTGTATATAATATAATTTATTAGTTCATCTAATGGAATTTATATATAAATAGAAAATTAATATACTAATTAAAATGCATTTAATAAGTATACTTAACAATTTTATTTGAGACGCAGTTGATTTTAATTGCAAAAAACAAAGTCGAATAACGCTATTAAAAATTTTGACACTCTAAATTTTATTAAAATTTTTATTAAAAATATTATCAAATAAACTTAAAACTAGATTAACTGACGTATAATTTTATCTTTATAAAAAAACTAATTGGGTAAATGTTAAATTGTGTTTTATGAAACATCAAGTCCTTTTGGTGAAAGTAAAGACAGAAGGAGAGAAGAGATTAAAAACCGTCAAATTTCTCTCTACACTTAAATTGAGAGAGACGCTAAAGTGGGATCTAATACTTGTTGGAATTACTGACCAGTCATTGTCATCACAATATCCTACAATCTTAAGAAATATGATAGCGCTTACTTTGGAGTCTAAAACACTAAATATGAATTTCTGTAAATCATTATACAAGAGTCATTTTTTAATTAGCAAAGAATTTGAACACTAGACTAACACTTAAAATTACATTTTAATAATTATATTTCAATTATATAATGGTGTGGTTTTATTCCATTTTAAATATTTACTAGCCATAAATGAATTTTGAGCACACGAGTATGAGTGTGAGTTTATTGAGGTCAATATAGTATATGTCTTTTTTCAATAAACCGGATGATGTCACTGACAACTTGACAGAGATAAGCAGCCTCTCGAACAGACCACTGATCCGATTACTTAGAATACTATTCTACGCGATTGATTCCTAAAAGTTGATTCATTATAATTTGGCTAGCATATATTCTGGCGATTGATAAATCTCTGCTGGTGAAAATGAGAACACAGTGCTTATGAAAAATAACGGAAATATATTGGTCTCGGATTACATCGGAAAAACCTCCGTGTTAATACTTTACCAGAGAAATTTAAACAGACCATGAGGAACCTCTGCTTCCAGCCTGAATAAGTCTGCCAAAACTTATAAACTAAAAAAAAATGATTAATTTTCAATTCTTATAATTTTGTTTATATCCTTTTTCTTAGTATTTTGTCTTTTCTCATATTTAATTAAATTTTATAATACATTTTGTGGCTAAGGAGAATAGAACATGAAATAGAATGAGAAAGTATATCATTATAATATATAAAATCCGATATTCTAAAAAGAGCTTTTTTGTGAAGATTGTTGAAAGATGAAATTAACTGCATCAACCATAATTTTCTCAATAACAATTTAAATTTGATTACTTAATTTTTAATTAATATAATACATAAATATCTGTATATTAAAATATAAAAGGCAATATTATAATATTAATCTATCAATCATTATGATATAAGCATCACTTATAAATTTGCTTTTTTTTTTTTTTTTAATTTTTGCAAAAAATCTAATGAGGATATGATTTAATTGTATGTTTATTGTTTTAAAAGAAAAAAACTTTCAATGTATATATGGGTTTGCTAACACAGCGTGGGATCATAATTTTATTTTTTAATATATATAATTCTGAATAAGTTTGTTTTTCTATTTTATATAAACAAATAAATTATAATAATTCCTTAATAAATAATAATAAATTAAGTATAATTTTTTCTAAAATAAGTTACTTGTCAAAATAAATTGATAAAATTATAAATTATCACATTTATAACCTATATTTTATTATAGAACCATTATAGTAAAGTTAAATGATAATTAGGACTTGTTCTTCTCTCTACCGGATGAGGATTGTGAATATAATTGGTAATCTATTTATAATAGTAAAAGGTACAGTACACTTACTCGTTATTTATTTTTATTAGAAAAGGTAAGTCCACAATAACGCGCCCATAATTCTTGTTATAAGCTATGGTTTATTCTATTATATAGAGATGAAAAATATACAAAATTTTGTAGACTAAAGAAGCGGTACACAAGTAATAAATTGAATATGAATTATAGCCTAATTATGTTCAACAACTGTAATATAAATAACACATACCTTATTTTTGTTATATATATAGGAATTCTATAAGTTACACATCTAAACTGAAATTTGATACTATAAGTTCAATGTTTAGAAGGAAATTAATGAGAGACTATTAAAAATTTAAATATCTTTTTATATTATTTATAATTTTTTAAACTAAATAAAAATTAAAAATTTTTGAAGAATATTAAGCATATAATTTTTATTAGTATGTTAATAGTAATACCTATATTATAGTATATTAATTTATTATTTTAAATTAGTGAATAAATAATTTTAAATTTAATTAAAAATAATATGAAGTAATCTAAAATTTAAATTGACTTTATTTTTTGAAAATTGATCAAAACCTTTTTGGCAAAATGCCCATTCTCACGGTGAGGATATATATACTACCATAGACACTAAAATTTAAATTTAAATAAAAAATAATATGAATAATTAAAATTAAATTGACTTTATTTTTTGAATTGATCAAAACTTTTTGGCAATGCCCATTCTCACTTGAATATATATATACATACACGGAAAGTAATTCACTTATTCACAAATTTCCTTACATGATTTTTGGTTGATTTCTTTTTCCTCTCTTTTGTCTTTTGGCTATTGAAAGAAGAAAATTAAAGTGAAATATTACCATATATATATATATATATGAAAACAAAGAGAAAGTATAAGACGCTTTTTCTGTTTAATATTCTATTTTTTTAGAAATTTTTAAAATTTTTTTATTTTTCTACGTTGTGATTGGCCAAAATTAATATTTAATGAAAATATTATCTATATAAAATATATAAATCTTTTTAATAATAACTAAAACTTTTAAAATTCAAATATACTTATCCATATTATCTATATCCTACGTGAATAAGAGATTTGATTTAAACATATAACCACATTATTCTTTGCCAAACCTAAACAACGTCCTTCTATTGCAGAGATTAAACAACGATTCCAATTGTACTGCTTTAGATTCTGCTATGTGGCTTCTCAAATCAACTAGAAGCAAGTTATATAATCAAGTACTATTTTTGTTCTTAATATTGATTATTGGATTCGTTTATAACTTTTTTTTTTTACTATGGGTTCTGCCATGCTTATGAAATATTGAATAGAATATTGTTAGGACTTGATTTACATTTACATGTGATCTTGGATTAATGTATTTTGATTCAAGTTTTTCTATTTTGATCAAAATTTTGGGGGCTAGAAAAATACACTATGTAGAAAGAATTTTGAAAAAATTTTCAATAATGTTCAAACAATAAATATAATTCCTTTCTGTCTTTTTAATTTCTTTCCATTTCTTCAATGTTGTTTTCAATTATTTTCTATTTTTGGAAAAAAAAAAATTGGTGGCTTAAAAAGAAAAAAATCTAAGTCTTATGTTCATTGGTATTTTTTTAAAACTTTAATTTATTAATTTACAAATAAATTATATAAAACTTTAGTAAATACATTAATAGTCAATTTAATTTCTCAAAATTTAATATCCTGCTTTATAATAACAGTAATGGCATGCGATTATAGCAGATTGTGTTGAGCTTTGTAATAACAGTAACAATATTACTGTTAATTGGGTATGGAGATCAGCGAACAAAGTCTTTGGCTAGAGTATCTTGTTCGTATGCTGGTTTTTATGTTTGGTTTCAGCTTCCTTCAAACATTGAAGCTACTTTCATTTCCGATTTGATTAAACGATATTTATTATTTTCAAAAAAAATTTAATATCATGCTTAATTTTTATATTTTTATATTTAAAATTCAAATTCAAAATATACTAATTTTTGAAATCATTCATATCAGGATAAAATAAATAAATCAATAACCTTAAATTTCAAATTATCATCGATTTATAACTAAATATAGGGGTTAGTTATTATTATTAATAAAAAAATTTTAATGTAAAATTACAAATTAAAAACTTTTCAAAGTAATTCAATAATAATAATAATCACCAAGTAATGCTCACTTATCTTGGAGCATAATTAGTAATAATGTATATATTTATCGTATTGTGTTTCTAAAAAATTCAAATTATTATTATTATTTTTTTTTTTTTTGTTTCACTAAAGACCTTTTGGATTTACTAGAAAAGAATACCGAGTGAACACCTTTTATGAAATTACAATTGAGGGAACTTAATATTATATTTAATGAAACTTGATTAAAATATTGTAGATTTACAATGATATATTATTGCAAACAATGCCATAAATTTTTTTTTATTACACATCATTTTGACATTTACCACAGTTAGATTATATCAAGTAGAATTTTGATTATTCATCTTAATAATTTTATAATTCATAATAATTTATTAAAATAATAATATAATCGCTCCACGATATGAAAAATTTAAAAAAAAATTAAAAACAAAGAAATTTACTTCAACTAATTAAGGTAAAATTTTAAAAAGAAATTATAAGAAAATGTGAAGGAATATAATATATTCCAGAAATCTGTATGGACAAAAAAAAAAAAAAAAATTCCAAATATCTTGTATGGACAAAAAAAAAAAAAAAAAAAAAAAAAACAAATTTCGAAGAATCAAAACTCTGAAGTCACAGATAAAGAATGAAAACTGGATTATAATTTTTAATAATTAAAATTTATTAAAACAGTTCTTTTTTTTTTTAATGCATTAGGAGCCTTGGTTGGCAAAAAAAAAAAAAAGAATTTAAAACAGAAATTAAATTAAAAAAGAAAAAAATAAAAATAAAAAATGGAGATTGGGAAGCTCAGATTATAATAAAATGATAAATAAATTAAAAAAATTGATTTATAAGATTTATCAATGTCTAAAAAATATTTTACTCTCTCGAAAATGGTATGTTATTTTCCTTAAAAAATGACTTAATTTTTCTTTGAGCAGAAAAATATTTTTCGTTAACTTATTTTTCTGAATGCTCCAAACAACGGAAAATTTTAAAAAATATTTTCTTATAAATTATCTTATGGAAACAATCAGAGCCTAAGAATAACGAATAGTATAAGAAACAGGTGAATCAAAATACATTATATGAAAATTTGAAGGAGACGAAAATAAAAGAGAGGCCGCGAATTCTTTCTGATAGTTCCGTCTTCAATGAAAAACCCCAATGCTTTGCTCCGAGATTATATAGAGAAGGCTGTTGCCTTTTCTGCTTCCTTTCGAGAAATATATATCTGGATCTAGGCCTCTAGGCCTTTCGGAGAGTGGGCGTAAACCCAATTACAAATTACTTTTCAATGGTTGGGTCTAGAAAGCAAATTAAAATAAATCGTTCTCACATTAGCAGATTTTTATATATTGGTAGGAAAAAGAGACAATAAAATCATTATCGTTACAAAGTTGGTTGTCCGGCAATACAATCTACTTTCTCTTTATCTAACGACTTTTTTTTTTTTTTTTTTTTTTTTTTTTTTTTTTGAAACTATCCAAACTTAGTTGCCAAAAATAAATTTTTTTTTTTTTTTTTTGAAACTATCCAACTTAGTTGCCAAAATAAAATAATCAAAATCAATAGAAATCAGTCAACATACAAAAATCTCAAATAATTTAAACAAAAGATCAAATGTTCGATACTTATGAATAAAGAAAATTTATGCTGGAATTCTCTTTTAGGAAAAAACATTGAATAAAAATTTTTTTATAGGAAGCTGAAAATCAAAGTTTATCCAATAAGCTTTTAAGTTGATTCATCTTGCAGATATTCTGAGACTATTTTTATATCTTCCCAAGTTGATGTAATTCGATGTCAATACTCAATCATAGAGCAAACATTATTCTCCATCCGAAATGATTCAGGTTTCCATCTATAGCTACCACACACCACTAATTAGCTGTTACTACCTTTTCCTGTTAATCAAATTCCTCTACAAGAGAGAATGAACAAAGGACCCTGGTTCAATTTTCGTCTTTATTATAACGCTATAACATTACGCTATCCATATCCATATCATATGTCCATAATAATAAAATATATACTTCGTGTTGTTTGAGTGTCCATTTGTTTGACTGCTATACATGTTTGCGTCCTTGCCCAATCAATGTTTTGCCTTCCACTACACTCCTAGAAATTGCTTTCTCTGCAGCAATCTTTAACAAATTTTCTATGGTTAAGAGGTTATAGTCATTCTTCTAATTCTCAATTCTGCCATGCACAAGTTATACAAAAATCTTCTCATAATACAGTGTATGTGTTAATTTGCATTACCCAATACATGGTGCAACTAATTACTTCCTTCCCTTTTAGAAATTAGATTGATGATGACTTGCGTGGTGTACATCAGTACATGAGTTCGGAAACTTCATTTAACCTAGCAAGAAATGGAAAATAACTCGTAAGTAGACTGTTAGGAAGACATTGAAAAATGTGATCTCCCAGTAATAGTGTCCTTGAATGAACAATTTTACACCTAACCAAACACATTGTCTCCTTCTTCATCATCTAATTCTTTGAATTGGTTCAAAAGCTAAACCTTTCTCACTATCACGTTTCCTTTGCTTGCCCTGTTGGTTTCTTTAGTTTGCAGTTAAAAGGTACAAAGTGCATGAACATAGAGTTGTAACTCTCTCAATATTATAAGAACCAATTACTAGTCTTCTCTTGCATACCCCAATATATCTCCCACAAAATTATTAAAATGAGCCATAGAAAGGTTTATTCTCATGGAAGCATACCTTTTTCATGGGAGGACTCACCTGGAGTTTCTAAGGCACGTGTCCTCAACCTATCACCTTCTCCAACGTTAACGACATCGAATAGCTCCTTTCAAGACACAAAGATTCCTCTTCCTCCCTGCCAGAACTTACAGCCGCCGAGGCGAAGCACTACTGCCAAAGGGTTCGGGTTGTGGCAAGAAGACCCTTTTCTTGCAGCTTACAAAGAGTGCACAAAAAATGTCAGAATTAGTAATAATGGTAAGCAGATGCATAGTGAAAATTGCAAGAAGTCTAACAGTAATATTACCATTAATGCGTCTAAAATTATGAGGAAGAGTAAGCTTATGATATTTTCTTGCAAGAATTCATGTGAGGTTAAAGATGATAATTTGGTAAGGTTATGTAATAATCTCCCATCTATTCCTACAAATAGAATTCCAAGAAAATGAAGAAAGTGTATATATTTTTTATGGGTTAATTAATTAGCATTTTCTCTTATCAAAATAGATTAAATAATCTTATATTTCATTAGATGAGATACTACATGATAAATTATAATTAACTAGTTAAATAATTTATATAGCCTCCATATCCTAACTTAATTAAAGAAGCAAAATCCATAGCATAATTGAGGTTATTTAGTAAATTTAAGATCCTTCATTATATCTTCAGAATAATTTTAATTTATTAAACAAAAGAAACAATCAATTATATTGAAATTTTACATATTTATTCACATCCAATATCTTCAGAATAAGTTACATCACTAATGCAGTAGTGATAAATGAATCTTAAAAGAACAAAATAGTACAAATTTTAAGCATTAACAAATGGGTAAATCTCATATCTAACGGTGCAACTCCCACCAACAACCCTACCTCCTTTTTTCCCATCACAACAACTTGGAAGTTCACTTATAGCACTATCAATACACTTCTGACAATCACCACTAGAAAGATCTCTACTGCATTGAGCCAACCCATAAACTTTCTTTGATCCTTCAATCTCCATATCTCCAGCAGCAAACATTCTTGGACTAACAGAAGCATTTTCAGCTAATTTGCTTAACAAATCCTTCACGTTTGCGTTAAACGATGCCGGATCGCTCACATTTTGTACGTTCAAGAGATAAAACTTGTTTTGTTCATCTATTTGGCCAAAGAAGTTAATATTCGAGTACTTGATCAGACAATTATCGTACCATATAGTTGCTTGTTTGTTATTTGGGCAGCGTGTGCGTATTTCATTGCTGGCTTCTGCAATACAGGTTAAGCAATCTGAAGCGGAGATGTCTCCTCTGCAAAGAGTGAGTCCATACGGTCGATCTTGGCTAGTTTGACCCAAAGAACCAAGAGCAAAGCCCTTTGCTGGGGCTAAATACTTGATATTTTCAATTAGCTTGTGCAAGCTTTTAGCATAAGAACTACTTACAGTGAAATTTTCAGTTCTTGAACAAGAATAGAAAAGAGGATCAGTTTTTGCAAAAACGGTGGGGAGAAGTAGAACTAATGTAAGTAAGTAGCTAAATCTTGAGAAGGCCATTGTTGGATACAGAATAATTTTTGAGTTTACGGTTATTGGGAGAGTGTATTTATAGTGTTCGATTCAAAATTTATTAGATAGTGATTGACCTTTTCTTTTGGATTTGGCAACTGATCAAGCTGACAAGAAGAATTCAAACATAAGCTAAGCCATTTGACACAGAATTATAATGGCATTAGGAGATAGCAACGAAACTACATTGATGATAAACAGTATACTTAGTTTTGTAATGCAAAACAAAAAGCCCATAATTAGACTGGTTAATTGCACCTCCTCCAAATAATCACTCTATTACTTTTCTTAGTTAAGATATTTAATTATAGCACACAAGGTTGGAATGCGAAAGTTTTTTACATTTTATCAAATAATAAATCTGTCAATCTTGACTTCATCAAAAACATATATTATTCTTTTTTTTTATCCTTCCTAAAACGACTGATTCGAAGTTTTGTTTTATCCAATAAACATTACTTACTTGCAAGTATTAGTAATACATATACTAATTCAAGAGTTGACAAACCAACAAGATGTTGAGATGAGTGTTTGGCCATTCCCTCTTTACTATCACCATAAAAATTTAGAGTAATGGTAGGAATAGTGGAATTTATGCTTTTAATGTCAAAAATAATACATTACCATTAATCATCTAACTATTTTTATTTTATTATTTTATTTGATGAATATGTATTTTTTTCCTTTTTAGTATTGAAAGAGAGCTTCGAACCTGAATCAATAGTCAGGACGTATATGTACTTATCACTAGATTATGCTCGGTACGTAGATCAATATGTATTTTTACTAATATATGTATACATACATGGCAAAAAAAAAAAAGTTCAAATATAAAAATAAAAATTCATATGAAGCTCTTTAATTTTCGTTTCATTTTACCACTTTTTAATACGCTATTTTCCACTTTTTTTTTTATTTTTATTTTTATTTTTTTTTATTTTTTTGTAATGATCTTGATCACGAAGTGTCCAAAATCACGTTATTGATAACATCTATCCCATGTATTTTTCTAAAATTTATCAGTTGTTGGCATAATTGGTTAATAAAATTTCAAGGCTTTCTCTGGAGTAGTGGGCTTTGCTCTAAAATCCATGCTTTTAGTCTACCTGACTTAAAATTGGGCCCCCCATAAGGCCCAACTAAAATTACAATTACACATGAATCACGCCGTTGTCCTTATGGAGTTGCCTGCCTTCACTACCCACATTAGGATGTCACCAAGCATTGTTTTGTTTATTTATTTATTTTTTTGAAGAATGTCATCAAGCATTCTTTAATTTATTTATTTTTTTTGAAGAATGTCATCAAGCATCCTTAGAAAAATAATACTTTATACATTCACTTGTTGTTATAATATTGATGAAATTAATTTATTGAAGTAGATATTTCTTTATATTATTGATAATATAATATAAGTAATAATATAACTAATGGAGAAGGATTTTTTTATTACACTAATATTAAATTAATATAATATAATTAAGGAATTTAATGCGGATTTTTGGAAATAAAGTTCTGAATTAGAATAGATATAATCTTTGAAATTGAATTCTATAATCATTAAGATATTAAAAACTCTCCAAAGCAACATCAATTGGATTAGATAAGATTAAATAATTAATGGGGGAATTGTAGTGGAATAATTTCTTGTTCAAATAAGATACTTAATCTTAATTCACTCTTTGCCGATTTGCAGAAGTTTTTCGCGAAAGTTCTTTTACTATATTTCTCACGTTTTTTTTTATTATTATTTATTATTTAACTTTAATTCAATCAGGCAAATAGATTCATTCAGACAAGGCATGTAATTATATTCAGACTGGTTAGAGAAGATATAGTGAAAGATTTTTAATTTGGTGATTAGGATCAAAATAAGTGCAATCATGTCATTTCTTTATATATCTTCTAGGCCCCCACATTACCATCAAACCTTTCATGTCTTCAAATTAATCATGTTTCCTTGCACTGCTAGTTGTAGTGGTGCAATTGGCAATAGCAAAATTTATTATATAATAATATAAAGTAAAATGCAATTAAACAAATATTTTAATTGAATTAGCACTCGGCAATAATATAATAATGCGATACTGGATAAACATAAGTCTTCAAAATCAAATGCTGATTTTATTTTCTCACGTTTCACGGATATGAGATAATATTCAAAATTTTTTTTTTGTTCACTAATACGATTTTAAAATTTTAAAACCATGATTTTATAGGTAAAGTTTATATAAGAAAACGGTCTAATTTTGTAATATGAGCTTTTGTTGATTTAAATAAAAATTACCAACTTATACTATAATTGCAGATATGTATGGAGAATAAGATGATGTTGAGAGTTCTTAGTTTCAAGGAAGTTCCTGGTTTCAAGGAAAGGTAAATGAATTGAGTGACAGACATGCAAAAACCATGCTCTATCTTAAGATTTCTTTTTAATTATTTTATGTGTGTGCCAAAAGAAGAGTAATTGAGGAGACAAAGTCCTAGAACCAAATTGGTAAAATTAATAAAATCAGAGTTGGACACTCAATCATCATTACCGAGTATAATAACCTTAATTTCTGAGACTAATCTTAAGAATTAATTTATCAATATGATAATATTGAACCATATATATAATGATAATTAAAAGTAGTGATGCCCTAAACCATAGAAAAGGACTGATTGATGAAGAAAGACAGTCATGGCAGCAAGCAAAACGAAGCTTACACGTGCCTAATTCAACTTTTTATGTGTTAAGCTTGGACCAATCTGGAACCTACTGTTTGCTACTCTTAATTAACAGTAGCCACATAACATTTTTTTCTATTTTAAATAATTTTTGTGCAAAGCGTGATTAATGAAGATGTAGGCATTAACTATTTGTATATCATATCATACGATGTCGCTTTTATGTTGAAAACAAAGTTTTGGTGTTTATAACTTACTTTAGAGGTAAAGAACAGACAAGTAGAGGACACCTTCATGCCCTAAACCTGCCTTTTTCTGGAGAGACTCTATTTTTATAAATAATTTTTATAATATATATATATATAGTTACAATCCATACCTACTCTTGATCATATAAATTAAGGACTTAGATATAACATTCATGATTGCAATTTCTTGAATCATCAGTATTAAAAAGAAGATTCAACAATTAAAAAAAAAAAAAAAAAAAAAAATTAAAGGACTTAGATATAACATTCATGTATTGCAATTTCCTTGAATCATCCCAGGTTTATTTTAAAAAAGTTAAGAGTTTCAACAATTAAAAAAAAAACAATAAAAATAAATAACAAACTGTTTAATATATTTTGTGTTGTTTGTAACAATTCAATAGCTCAAAGCCTAATTTTTACAGGTTTCTAATCTTTGATTTTGATCTTCTATACTTGTTTTTTGTCCACAATAAAAGTTTTAAAAAAAAAAAAAAAAAAAACTGTTAATATTTGTTTGTTTACATTCAAGCCAAGCCTAATTTTTAGGTATCTTTGATTTTGATCTTCTATACTTGTTTTGTCCAAAAAGTTTTTTGGGTTTGTCCTATATGATGTAAGAGAATTAATTTATAGCGGCTATCATTTTTAATAAAATTTTTTTTATAAGAAAATGGCTGGAAATATTATTGGCTATCAAGTCGAAGAAAATAAATATTATTGTTTATCATTTTTAATAATTAATATATATATATGATAAATATTATATCATTTGACCGTACACAGATTATTAAATTAAGTATCATCTATATTTGGTACCAATAATGGATTCAATTAGAAAAATTAGACTGCATCCCTAATTAAATTTTCTTTGTAAAATCAAAGATTTGAAATTTGTAGTTACCATTTTTTTAAAAGTTTAGCTGATAATATATAACATTACCCTCAATTCGAATATAGAAGTGACCAAACTTAGGTATCATATACAGAATATCCATTGCACCCTTGGAACATCAGGTTAACTTTAATTATAATCTTCATTAATTAATACGAACAATCTATATTTTTTAATTATAAAGTTTATTAATTAAGACAAACAGTCCTTTGTCTTTGCATTTAAGATTTTTAGAAAAGAGTTTACTGAATGTGAATGTCTAATTTTTTATATATGAGGATTAATTATTTAACTGTAGTGTTGGATGTATTGAATGGTGAATGAAGTTAGAGGTGATGAAAGCATCCATCTAACTTTTTTTCCTTTAATTTGTTATGGGCTGATTAAATGGATTACGTCTTTAATCACAATTGTGGCCCCTCTAATACCTTGCCATCATTTTTAAAGCATATAAAGCCATTCTTCTCTTTATTATTATTATTAAAGCAATATTCATATTTAAAATTATAAAATTGTGAATTTGAACAGTAATTAAAAGTTAATTAATTAAGAAATATTACTACTAGTATTATTATTATTACTTGGAAAATTAATTTTTCATGTAAGTATATTGTCTGCTGTTCGGATAATTGTCTATCAATCATTGGATCCTCAATTATTTGGAGAAGGCAGGTGTGGAGTAATACGTCAAACAAATGGACCATTTGCTTTTATTTATTTCTTTTAAAACGTGAATAGACCATTAATAAATAAAGATCAACATGTTCAATTGAGGACAAAGTTATTGCTTTTTTGTCCATTTCTTTTTAACGAAATAAAAATCAACACCTTCACCCACTTCTCAATTCATTAAGTTGTTATTCTTTGATTGAAGAGGTCGATATTGCCCTTCAAAGAGTGATGTTTTCCTGATAAATCTTAATAATTAATCAATACTGTAATTAAATATCAAAGCATGCTTATGATGATTTGATTAATATCCGAAAGCACCACATAATTAGTGGTAATTAGGATGTTAGGCAGCATATTGTTATTCACAGATCGCGGTCACAGACAACAAAATTAGTGGATCAAATTAAAAAGAAAAATATATAAGTGGAGCTTGGAACTCGCTAATTAATTATAATTATAATTTATAATTACTAGCTAATTAACTACCCAAAAACATGACACGTTGTATATAATACTTTAATAAGTAAACACTAATTACACTAGCTTTATACACCATAATTTTTCCCCAAAAAAGTACGACCCGCTCAACCTTTATCAAAAATCACCATCAAAACCCACCATTTCTTTTGCTTTGACACCTTTGTCATTTACAGAGACTCTAGAGACAGAGAGAGAGAGAGAGAGAGAGAGAGAGAGAGAGAGAGTTTCTCTTAATTCGTTCCCTAATTAAAACTTTAAGGGACTGATTTATTTTATATAATATATATATGATATGTAAATTTATTCATCATGAAGTGATTAACGATGGGTTCTGTTCGGTCGTGATTAAGTTATTGCATGGCCATGCAGACGTGAATTGTTGCAGTTGTCTGAACATCAAAATTTGCCGTATGTTCGACAGTTTTTGTCGGAGCATACTATGTTCAGACCGGAGCCGGTCGTTGTCCCTTCGTACGCTTTGACAATGGTACAAAACAAACCGCAACCGGTTCGTCAGTTCCCGGTTCTCAATCCTCAGCCGGTTCACCTGGTTTCTTAAGTTTTCTAAGTGCTTCTGTTTTCGCATCCTTGACCGCCTAGCCGATTCCCGATTCGATATCATCCGCCTGCGTTTCCGCTCATCGATAACTGAAACTGTACTCGTTTGGTCCGACCGGTTCGGTTCGCTTGGTTCATCTGAACCTGAACTCGAACCCGAACCGACCGGTTTTGGTGATAATTGAGTGTTATTATGATCATCGTGATCTTGAGCCTCACTAGCAAGGAGTTCAGAACAGCGAACCGACCGGTTTTGGTGATAATTGAGTGTTATTATGATCATCGTGATCTTGAGCCTCACTAGCAAGGAGTTCAGAACAGTCCCACGGCGTAAAGCCGCCGTTTTCAAAGGACGGAAATTGGTCTCCGAACATCGGATCAGACAGAAAGAAAGCCGGAGTCGGAACAGTAGACGACATGACTCACCGGAATTTTTTAATAGAGAATAAGGAGGGAAGGAGGAGGAAAGGGAAGAAATGCAGCGGAGTAGCCTCATATTTATGGGCAAATTTGAGGGCAGCCGTGGGACCCAGTGTAGGCATGAAAAATGCTTTCCGGGGGTAGTTTGGTCAACCAATGTAATTGTCTGTACATCGAGTCAGTGGGCACTACTGTGGGGTTTCAACTGTTCAAGCGTTTGAGCTTCGCTTTTTTGGTAAGAGCTCGCTGACATAAGCCGGTGGGTCCATTTATTTAGCTTAGTCAAGAAGGAACAAAGATTCGGGTCCCACTATTGATACGTGTCAAAATCAGAAAAGATGTACGTGTGATCAGCCTATAGTTTGGAAGGTTGCTGACGTGGAATCCAGTGTTTACATGGCTTGGCTAATTGATAAATGGCTAGCTGAGCCGCAGAAACTAATTGGAAGGGGATGTAATGGCTGATATGATCAAAAAGCACCAAGCTTGGAAAAAATATATAAATATGTATTGCCATCACTATTAATTGACGTACCATTAGCTTTTTATTTTTTTTATTTCTTTGGAAATTAAAAATTAGCGAAAAGTCATTATGTTGGTACAGTTGTTCACTTTTTGATATAAATTAAATTATTAAAATAAAAAATGGCATGGTCTATGTTTAAATATAATATTGTCAATTTCTCATATAAAAGAAATTCATCACCTATTTTAATAATCGAAAGTCATTTTACTAGCATAGTAATAAGCAATAAAAAAAATAGTAAGAAAGCTACAAATACATGTTGTTATTATTATTATTATTATTATTCAATATATACATTTATGTTTTGTTGTTTTATGATTTACTTTTAATTATTGATGGGATAAATGTATCTAGAAGAAGAAGATGCAGACACATCAAGTGAACGCAATATCAACACTACAACCCAAAAAAGAGAAGATGCAGGTACACATCAAGTGAACGCAATATCAACACTACAACCCAAAAAAAAAAAAAATATAGTTATTATATATATATTATAGATATATATATATATATATATATATAGCTTATATAGAATTAAAATTTTAATACCGAAAGTTTGATAAATTGTAAAAAATTAAAATTTTAATACGAAAGTTGATAATTGTAAAGACATTTAAAATTTTATATATTTATTTATAATACTTAGTGCAAATTTCGGGTCAATTCTTTTTACTTATCAAATTTTAATTTGGTTGGAAATTTTAAATAATATATAGATAAACATTATTGAACAATCTAAAATCAATAAGTTTTCAAAAAAATTTTAATTTTGATAGAGTTATAATGTTGATTGCTGCTGCACTTTTTGTGCATATATATTAGTGCTGTCTTGTGCTTTATTGCTGTAAAATTGCTATTTAAATAATTTATTAATAATATATATTTGGTTTGCCTATTAAAAAATATTATAATTTTAAAGTATTGATGGTTACATCTAGATTTTTGTTCTAATTATTATGTTTATCCCAACACTCCAAATAAAATGCTGAATTATGTAATTTTATAATATAAAATAAGGATAGTGTTTTTGCGACATCCTGACGCACAAAGTGATCTTGGGCAGAGCAAAGCTCCTGGCTAGCTTTAGGATGGCAGGCTTGTTATGGGTAGTGGAATGTGGGACACATGAATGAATTGAATCGTATATCGAAAAGGGAAAAATTAAATCGTAAAAGGCGAGTTTTGGTGTAATGGCTTGGAGAATTGAGAGAACTATAGGGTTAAGTATGCCCGCTTAACGAAAATCCTAGAATGAGTGATCTCTTGGGAAGTTCCATATATCACTTGTGAGACAAAACCTTACGGGTCTTGCGAATTCAGTATAGGATGTAATTGGCTTGATACAAAGTGAATAATTCTTCTAGTAGTTAAAGTCGGGCGTGACATCCAATGAAGAATTCAAATTTGGAGACTAATTGGTAGGTAAGGCTATCAAGATGTGCATCTAGCCAGAGATTGTGTTCAACCACAACTTTTAAATAATTTTCAGTGTTGATCGGTTAAAATGTTAAATGACATTTTTTTATAATATTCAGTAATATAATATTTGAATTACATTTTAGAGATTAAAGAATTGTTTTATAAAAAATTAACACATTTAGCTTTAGCGTTTTATGAAAAGATATCCAAACAGCTAAATTAATAAGTATTAAAATAACTAATTTTGTATACCAGATATAAATAGATAGCAATCTTAGCTTTTTAATCACTAAAATGAGATTTGACTTTAGTTAGCTTAGGGTTTCATTCACAACATGGCTCTTCTTTGCATGGATTCTGATAGATCAAATGGTGGTGAATTTACAAATTTTGTTTAATGGATTTTATGCATTTACATAATTTTGTTATATTTTAGTTTTGTAAATATTTTATTTGTTTATGAGTTATGACTCAGTTGGCAATGTAGGCTGAACATGTAAGAAGAGCTTTTGGGTTTGATCCTCACTAAATACACAAGCAGACGGTGACGGATCCACATTGTAAAAGAGGTGTCAATTGACCCCTCTTTCTTTTAGAATTTTTTAATATATACGTATTTTTATCTAAATTAATCTATAAAATTCAATTTATTTATGTTTTTGACCCCTCTTTTTTCAAAAATTCACTCCATGGAAAAATATTTCTAGATCCGCTATTGCATGCAGAGAGGAGCGAAGAATCTTAACTTTGATTAAGTTCCGAGCCGGATTAGGCGGTCCTTGATAATAAAATTCGAATACTGGTGGTTTACATAGAAAAAAAATATTATATTGGATGATGATCGTGGATAAACATAAGAAATCATGAAAAAATGGGGGAAAAAAAAGAAGGAAAGAGAAAATAAGGGAATTTGTAGTAAAAGATATTTTGGATTTCTTAACTTACCAAACAATTGAAATTAGGTTCATAATGACTTCTTTTATTTATGAATTGGAATAGTGAGAGACTATGAGAGTGACAAAGTGAGGATAATTTTATCCAATTAAAGATTCTAGCTTATGATTAATAAAAGAACTCTGAAAATATCACTATCTCAGAATAATTATTTTTTTACTAATCAAGTGTAATTTAATTAGTCTTTCCACACTTCAAAGAAGATGTGAGGAGGGACCTCATATGTAATATATATCTATATCTATCTAAATATATAAAAGTTGAGTCCTAAAAACTTATGTGACATCATTTTAGAATATAAAGGTGCTTATACGACAACGTTAATCTATTAAGTTAGGAAATAATTTTTATTTTTTAAAAAATTATTTTTAATAGTATTAATAGAGAATTTAATTAATATCATTAATATTTCTAGTTTAAAATAATTAATAAAATTAATAATATCTAGTTAAGTTAGGAATAATTGTTATTTTTTTTTAAAAAATTTATTTTTAATAGTATTAATAGAGAATTTTAAGTAATTATCATTTAATATTTAGATCCTATTTGAAAGTGGATAATGTTAATAAAGATTAATAATATCCTATGTAATATGTTTTAAGAAAGCTTTTTGTCACTTCTTTTTTTTATGAAATAATTAAAAATGTCATGTAGATAGTTTTCGTCTTTCAATTTTCTTTAAATATCTATTTCAATAGAGAATTTAATTAATATCATTAATATTTCTAGTTTAAAATAATTAATAAAATTAATAATATCATTAATATTTTAAAAACTTTTCACTTTCTTTTTATAAATAATTAAAAATGTCATTAATATTTTCTCTTTCATTTTCTTTAAATATCTATTTCAATATAAATAAAACCATAAAAAAAAAATCACATCATATTTTCAACAAAAGGAAATGGATTCCTTGCAAACAATACAAGACTATTTTCATGGCATTTAATAAATTTGAGCTTGATTAATGTGGCGATGGTGATGGAATTACAAAATATGTTCAGTTCTCGATGATCAATTAAGGTATGATTAAATTGATATGTATGAAAGGAGATGATAGTATTTCTCGATCTATTTTAAACCAGGGCAAATTTTAATGAAAATTTTTTTATGTTTTTAATCTTTATTATATTTATGCCCATATTTTAGACTATTTATTCAAAATGAATTCAATAGTAATTGATATTTATAAATATTATTTTAAAACCTAATAAAATATTTCTTGAAAATAAAAAATTCTAGATTAATTATAAACTTAAACTTGATTTATGTATGTATATGTTCATATATATTGATCCTTTTGCAAGAATCTAAAAATTGTCATATTATTGCTGGACTATTTTGAATAAAAACGAAAATGACAAAGCTTGCAATTGATTAAGTAAAAAAAGAAAGTGACATTTCAACTTATGATTAATGCCTTCATTGATAATTTCAATAGAGTAAACAAAGTTTTGTCAAAGTCATTGTGTGTCTTGCCGAAAGGCAGAAAAAGGTTAATCACATAATTCCCTCAAGGCAAGGGATCTAGATCCATAATTAATCCTTAAGACTTATTTAATTTTATATAATTCCCTCATTAAATATATTTCAAGAATGAATCAATTAATTAATCCACAATTAAATCAGAGAAAATAAAATATATTTCTACGTGAATTTTACTTAAAATAATTTAAAATTTGAAATCACTACTGTTAAAAGAGTTTTACTTCATGATTCACTCAATCCAGAACAAATAAGTGTATGAAAAAAATAAGAATGAAACCTATATCTTAGGAGAGGGAATCTAAATTGATTTAGAGTCAATATTTAAAAACTTATTAAATTTAAGGCTCAAAGTTTAGGAGGGGGAATCTATAGCTTACGAAGGAATCTTGTGAAAATGATAATTGGAGAAATAGCAAAAAAAAGTCTCATGAAAGAAAAGAACAAAACAAGAACTTAATACGTAGTGTTGTGCAAGAAATGGTTAGCATGTGGCCGACACTCAAAAGCAAAATCTAATTAATAATATAATATGGTATTCTATAAAAAAAAAAACAAAAAAAAAACTATCATCATTTAATTTTCTTTTCATAAAAATATTTTTAAATTTAAATCAATGACATTAATTTGATAATTAAAGAACAAA